AGCCGAATAAATTGTGCAGCATAATCCTGCTTTCACTTGAATGCCAGTTATTAGGCACCTTCTGATTGATGTAATATACTATAGCTCTTCAATGTTCAAATTATAATTCTTATTGACTTTTTTGTACTCTTTTTACAGATTCTTTACAGTTATCTCATTACTTGTATAAGTAACTACAGAAATCATTGAATTATTCTACTTCAGTATTAGCTTGCATGCAATCACAATTTTAGAACTGCTCATTTTAGCAGGTGATTGCTAATAGGGAGAAAGATTAAGAAAGATTAAATCAATGCCAACATAATGGAAACTAATTTCTACCCAGATATCTGTTCTGCAATTTCGTGTTAAAAGCATGATATTTAAATTCCAATTGAAATTTTGTCCACGTTGAAAAATATTGAGTAGACATAGCATGTCTACAGTCAAACTTCTCTTATATAAAAAAAAAAAGTCACATATAAATGCTGTGCCAAACACTTTCCACAATTTATTTTTCTGTGAGAATTGAACTAAAATGGTTTTGGCACTTTTGTACCCCAGCATATAAATAAGGCATGGTTGTCATGAGCACAGCTGTATGACTGTTTGCTCATTGTTTTTTTTTATGCCCTTGCTAGACTCAAACCTAGAAGTTAATACCTTCAAGTGGTATGAAGACAGAAGTGTTTAATTCCTCCTTCTGGCATTCTAAGAGCAAAGTATGAACCATTACTTATGGCTTTTATGAACCTTTCAAGTAATCATCAGCCTTGTATGGGTAGCATTTCCTCAATTTTTTCACTGGAAATTGTAGTAATGCAAATAAAATATTTTAATAGTCTTCACAGCAGTCACGGGCTGAAATCTGCCACTTCCCCAGAAAGTGAACTAAGCATCCACAAGTAAAACGCAAAGGTATATTTTTTGCAAATTCCCAGCAGAAATCAACTACTTGAGGCAGCTTCATCCAAAGAAGCCACTTGCTGTCAAGTACACATAATGCAAGAGTTACCCTGTGCAAGAATTAGCATTGCACAGCCAGTACCACAGAAAGACATGCACAAAAAGGAAGTGAGCGTAAAGATACTTCTGCATTTTTTATTCTGCAGTTTGACTCAGTCATGAAGTTCTTAACCTTCCTGAAGTTAGTCCAGGTTCCTGTCCTACTTAATATATATATGATCAATCATGTCGTACAAAGCAAACTACCAGTATGCCATGTATTTTTAAAAGGCTGTGAAAACAAAGCTGGTGGAACAGAATAGAACTAAGACCAGCGTGAATACAGGTTCTCTGTAATTTTTCCACATTCTGTCAAGCTATGATAGATTGCTAAAAAACACAAAGTAAAATTCCTTCTCATTTTGCTAAATGATGTCTCAGGTCACAGGAAACAATGTTCTGATTGAGAGAAAATAGTAAACAGTAGCTCTGTTTTCTTAACTATCACTCTATCTCAGCAACTCACATTCCATACAACAGTACAATTATCAGTACAGCTATTTTCTTTTCAAAAACATGAAAATGTAGGAGTTATGGCTGTCAGCTATCTCTGATTAAAGTTAATCATCTACTGCTGTTAATTCCATTTGTAGGTAATTTTATTCAGGAATAAGGCCACCCATATCTGAAATTAGGGGAGGCCGCTAATAAGTATTTAATGCCAGCTTTAATGGTCTCTGAAATAACTTACCCAAGACACCAGATTATTATGAGATCATGTAATTACAGTCTGAACCACAGAGCATAAATAGAACAGCAAATTCTGTCTGAGCTCTACTGTTCGCTAAATTTCTTAGCACTTCAATTTTATACTTTCGAGTTTTATCATAGTTGCGTGGCTTGACATAATTTTCTAGTCTTTTGTCTGAGTGAATGATGTTGTGGGCTTTTTTTAACAGAGATAAAGAAAGAAATGGTTATATTTATTCTGAAGAATGAAAAGGAAAAATCTCCTTCAGGGAAGAAATACATTCTCTTTGGCTTGTAATTAACAGCAAATCAAAAGGGCTAATACTGAATACTTTTAAGATCACTTTATGTTGACCTATTTCAATTAGCAGCAAGCAGTTCATTCTTCTATAAGGAAGAAGAAATATATGGCCACAAACGAGAGAAAAAAATCTTGATAACACTTAGAGGTTATAAATATTACAGTATTCACTTACTGTCTATCATATAAGTAGTACAGAACATTTAAGAAGTATATAACCATTTCAATGCTAAAATGGGGTTCAATTTAATAATATTGTTCCTCTACTCTCCTCAGAGCCTTCTCTTCTCCAAATGGAAGAAACCCAGCTCCTTCAGCCTTTCTTCATTGGTGAGGTGCTCCAGCTCTCTGATTTGTGTTTCAGAGACATATAGTGACTCTTTGAACAGCTTGATCTGACACTTGAATGTGTGGCAGCTTCACTATTTTATGATGATAAAAGACTGTAAATGGAATATAGCTGATCATATCTGCATGTTCTGCTAATGAAGGGAAGTGAGAAGAAGGCATGGATGTTAACATTCTACTATTAGGAATGGACATTCATAGCTACCTGGATAGATATCTTAAAATAAACTTCTCTAGCTCTTCTGGAGTTTTGAAATAAGGCATATTGGGAAAATTCAAATGTCCTGGAGCAAAGATCTGCAACCATGTGCAGTTCACTGAACTAAATCTCAAAACCAATTTCATTAAATTCTGATCCTAATCTGTAAAACAAGTACCCAGAGTTTTCTTCCTGCACCTTCCTTCCCTTCCTGTTCAAGTCACATGGCTGAAAGCAAGGTTCTCATATGGAATACTGCACTGGAACAAGAACTTCTGAATTACAAATAGCTTCTTCACTTCTACCTGAGTACCAGCACTTCCACTATATTTTAAGAAATGTTATGCAATCACAGCAATATAACAGATTATGCAAATTTATACAAATTCAGTGAGGATAATGCAGGAGCTACAGAGGCATTTCTTGTTCTTTTACAAAAATCAAATGGCTTCTAACAATTGTTTGTCTAAAACATATATTTAATTAACTCCTTTCATCAGTATAATTTTACTTAATTTTGTCAACAATAACATCCTTCATTTTGAAATACAGAAAGATCAACCTCCCCAGCATGTTTCCATGCAATATAAAAATCCTCACCCTCATTTACGTTAATTATATGCTTCTCTAAGAACAGAACAGACTACTTCTCTGAGACAATGACATTCTCTAGTACAACCTTCCTTACTAAGATAACTCTTCCGATTATTAGCTGATCATATAATAACACATACTGGTCTACTTAAATGTCTGTAAGATTTTCAGATTTACTCACTGATTTATTTGTGAAATAATAACATAAACCCCTTTACAAGTCAGCGTTTTTGAGTCTACCAAATTTCAGTGTTTGGTTTTTTTTCTTGTACTTCAGTTGCTTGAAATAACCTTTTGTAAAATGCAATTCTCCAACAGTCAAAAACTATTATTAATTGTAATTATGTCTCTCGTTGCTAAAAGTTAGGTAATGTTCTGTTCCTGTAGAGGGTTATTCTTTTTATAGAAGATTAGTTACCTTAAGAGAAAATGTAAAATCCTAAACATGGATAGAAAAGGCCTCAGAATAAAATTACATTGTAATTGGAATATGATTTCTTAATTCACGACAGGAAATTACACAGAATACTGTGTGAAAGCTGGATAACTACGGACTCTGTTTTTAACAACAACTTTATATACGTAAAATAAAATATGTAATGTGTCTAGGTACTGTGGCTTGAGTCTCTCATGACACTCATTGCATTTGAAACTCTGCTAACTGTGGATTTCAAAATATTCCATTGCCCATATTTTCCAAAAAAAACACTTTCGACAGAGGTATGGAAAAATATTACTCAGTCTTTGAGAAAAGACAAACAGAGTTTCTCAAGTCCCATCAGTACTTACCAGAGAAATTAATTATAGCAATCCTATAAAAAATAATTATTTCATTGTATTTATTGTATTTCTCACTACAAAACCTATGTTGTAAATAAGATTGCTACTCTCTCTAATCAAACACAGTACAAATATACAGTACTTCACAATAACTGCCCCGGAGAGCTCACAGTCTAATATGCTAAGCAGAGAGCAGGGTAAGTGGTAAAACATGAAAGCGTGTATAGCACTGACAGTAAATATCAGGTGATTAGATGTGATTATTTCCTGGCACATCTAACTGTATTTCATATTAGCATTTCACAACACGTAAGACGACGGAGAAATGAATATACCAGTGTGATGATCTGAGAAAACAGTTTCTTGTCATGAAGTTTTGCTTCCAAAATGGAAATAAGCACCATAAACATTGTAAATACTAAATTAAAAAGTCTGATGAGACAAATACAGTTATACTACATGTAAGACCCTCAGTGATATAACAAAGGACTGCAATTGATATCTTATGTGCGGTTAAGCAAATTAAATGGTTTCAATTGTAAAAAATACAAGGGACTACAATTTCAAGAGGAAGTATTATCCCTTCTTTTTAAAAGACTATCTTGATTCAATTAATTTTTACTCCTATATTCTTAAAAAAATCTACCAATTCAACAACTGCATAAATTACATTTGCAACAAAAATGTGGTTTTGATTCAGTGTATGCTTGACATCAAACGTGTTAAATAGCCTCATGTACTTAGATGTCAGTATCTGCATGAAGTACTAATCCTGAAAAAAGATGCAAATATGTAGATTAGCTGGCTTCAACATAACTTGAAATAGTCTTATTTGTTTAGTGTAAATCCTTTGTTTTAAAAACGGGTATATGTCTAGGTACTTTTCAATGATTATGGTGTTCAGATAATTCCACTCATTCTCTTTTCATCTAGAATCCCATAATATCTATGAGTCATAGGTCTGAATATAAAAAAGATTATCACAATGTTTCTGTCTATGTCTATGCAATAAAGTAACATCAATTGCAGTGGGTTTATTTTTCCCCAATACAGCCTCTCAAAAAGGCTTTCGGATGAAAAACGAACCCTCCTTTATGTACAGACCTTCATAAGGTTCTATCTCCTTGTCTCCATTGTCTAGGGAAAGTAACAAAACAAACAAACAAAAAAGAAACAAAAAAAAAAAGGGAACCAAAGCACAGGGGTTAAAAACAACATAAGTTTCATAAAAGATACAATATACATGTTCAGAAGGATTAAAAAAAATAGAAAAGGAGTGCACATGACCATTTAAACTGATTTTGCACAACACATTTAGTTATTGAAAGTGGAAAGGTGAAAATGTATTTGTTATCAAAAACATGTCTACAGTCCTTTTTCTGAACATTTTGGAAGATGTCTCCATTGACCAGTGCTTTTATGAGACATTAAAGATCAACATAACAACAGTATCAGTAAAGCATGAATTATGAAATAGCTTTGTGGCCTTTCCTATTTTAAAGATTATTACCTCTTTTCTTGCTCTTCCTGTTTCAGGGTGCAGAGGTTTTATATTAGTACTCTGTAACATACTCTATCTGAGCTCAGAAGTGATCAGCTATGCTACTAACTCCCCCAAAAAAGTTTTATCAATAAATAACATAAAAAAATCATTTCCTGCACTTATTGAAGTCAGCGACAAAACATCTCTTGAGTTCAGAAGGAACAGCATTATGCTAATAGTTCATATTGTTGATCACTACTGCAATGCTGATGATCCAATTCAGTCAAGAGTACAGTAGATGTTAAAATATAATAAAATGCAATACAAAATGCAATATTATCAATCCTAGTTCTGTACACAAAAACTCAAGAGTTTTAATTCCCCAAAGAAAAATAAGAAACACACTTGACCTCCATGAGCATTTTGCAATGTCATTAAGGAGAAAATCACACACTTACTTCTCTCCAACGTCCCTTTTGGTGGGAGCTGTGGTAACTGCCTGCCCCTTCTTCCTACTACTGGAGTACTTGATGGACTTGTCTGAACAGACCCAGTTCGAGGATGTGACCTATGAGACACATATCAAAACAAACCACAACAATTAAATGGCACATTCATCCTTAAATACCTTCAAGAACTGATAAAAGTACTAATTAAATTTTGGCTCACTTGGGACACTTTCATTCCCATAGTGAAATTATTAATTCTTTAAAAACAACATTGAGAAAAAAAGAAATATCTCCCTAGAAAAAAAGAAGGAAAAAAAACAAAAACAAAACAAACCAAACCCATAAGCTAAACTAAGGCTAAGCACCCATAAGATGATTGTTTGCACAGTCAAGCCAGAAAATGTACTGTATGTACATTCATGTGCATATGGAAATACCACATGCATGCACACACAACTATTCATAGGCCAAATTCAACTATCTTTATTCAATTTTTATTTGGTTAAATTCCCACTGAGTGGTAAAGATATTATAGGGATTTAAATAAACAAAGTAATAACCTGGAAAGATGCTGGGATTTGACCAACTGTCACTGGGGATTTGATGGTACTATCTCTCACTTTCAGAAAGCAAAATAATGTCTTCTGCAGTTCCAAAATAAGGAGAAGCGTGCTGAATATCTAGATCAAAATGTACTCATCTTTTTACTGCATTATGCTTAAGCTCAGAGTAATGTATAGACATCTGCAAAGCGTCAGTCACTAAAGATAAAGTATTTAACAGGAACGATACAGACTATGGCACAGTAAAATGTAGTCAGAGAAAATGGTGGTTACAATGGAAGTTAAAACACAAAGTTAGTACAGTCCAAATGAAGAAACATTTTTGTTTAAAAAATAAAGTTTCATTTGATGTTATGATGGTTCCTCCATAACTGATGTCTGATGAACACAAACAATTTCTCATTCTGTAAGATAAGAATATGATAATTATGAGGTGCTTCATGTGGGAAACTATCTAGGATTCCTGGTCAATGAGAAATCACAAACAAATGCAGTTAAATACTGTTAGTAGACACTTTAAAATGGCAGCCACACCATTATATCCAGAGAAGAATATAAATAGTGTGTTGACACTGACAAGGTTAGTATCTATTGCTACTAGTGATCAGCTAAAGATGAGAGGCAATACCAATTAGCTACTGGGAAAATAAAATGGTGAGCTGGTGGGGCAGAAGGGGATTAGTCTGATTGATTTGTCTGTTTCACCTCGGTAAGGCAGGTGAAGGTGGGGCAGATCTTCCAGTCATTAATGAAGGCATCGACCTGATGAGGTTTGAGTCAGGACGCTCTGTGGATCGGGAGCGGGAGTTGGTCCGCTCTAGCATAGGACGTTGCTCTGTTGATCTGGATCTTTGATATGGCTGTCTATCTGCTGCTTCACAATTCCTGTAATGTTAGTCAGAAAGCAGCTCGGTTGACTTTTCTATTAGTTGTAAAATATGCTGCATGATACTGGTTTGGAGAAAGTCATTTTGTTATGTACAATCTCTTTGGTAAATTTCTGAGTTCGCTTCTTGATTACATACAGTTTTTTAAACATGTATGCTTTGGTTTGCTCCAAACTCTTGATAAATGGGCTGAAATGTTTCTAGTGTCTCAGTAATGACCATCTATGCAATAGTCTGTTTCCTGACAATTTCTGAGTAAAAAATATTGTTGTTTTGTAATTAATACATCAACGTTGGAGGAAAAGAATAGATGACACAATTCTCACTGAAGCTTAACTGTGCATTTTAATTGAGCATTTTAACTCACATGACTAGATTTTTTTTTAGACTGCATTATCTTCAGAGGTGGTGCTCTTTAACAACCATTTGTAGAAAAGTCCACAGCAAATTCAGCCGCGTTCCAGACATTGTAATTACTACACAACTCTGTGAAATGCTACTAAACTCAAGATGTCTGCCAAAATACTGGCTAGGCTATAGCGACAGATCCATATGCAGCACACAGAGTACAGTCACAAGATCTACAATGCGATCAGTACTGACAGATGTTCTTAGTGGATAAATACTGGTTTGCCATAGAAAAAATATAAAATCTAAACTTTAACCTAAAGAACAGTGAGAAAACAGCAATTAAAACAGTCAGCATTGGAGACACAACAGAGAGAAGGCACACACCTATCAGAAAATGATCTAGTTTCATCTCCTACTATCATAGCCAATTAATCATGTATTTTCTTTCAGCAATTAAACAAATCTCACCTTTCTTGACAATGTAACTGTTCTGTTTTCAAGGAGTAATAATGGCTAGCAATGTGCTAAAACAGATAAAGTTATGGTAATTGTAAAAGTAAAAAGTACACCCTCCTGAAGCTGCTTATTAATTTCATACTCCTTCTATGAGAGTAACCTGCATGACAACAGAATAAACATCATGAATATATGTATCTTTTGATCTTTCTCTTGAACTGTGCTGTGCATTTTGCAATGAAGTCAGAGTGACTGGATGTGCAACAAAAAGCTGAACTTTATTTAATATCAAAAAGAAAGACATATTACAGCCTCATTATGAGGAATCTTTGGTCATTAACAGCACATTTTTTTAAAGAAAACCATAATGAGACAGAATGCAGTTTTCTCTATGGTGGCTAACTTTGCTGAATGGGTGGATGCTCATTAAAATGAATGTCTTCCATGAGGTAATAACCGGATTCTTTGAGGATAACAAGGAATGCCACAGACAAGTTCAGAATAATACCATTCACCAAGAACCTATGTCTACAAGCTCATAACAAGCAAACACACCACAGTGAGAAACATAAGCTGAGGCACTAAAATATCAGAAGAAAAATACAATGAGCCTGGAACAAAACCACAATAAAATTACCTCACTTCTTCTTCTATCAGTTCTGTTTCTGAATGGGAAGCTTCATCAGCAAAAACATCCACTGTCTCGCTTCTTTTACATTGTGGGCAGACAAAGAAACACAACCTTAGCTTTGATTTGAATGTTGCTTAGTTTGGGTAACTTTTTAAGTTTTCAGTGCTGTAAGAGGTGCATGGTGGTTAAAAAAGTAGCTTTGACTATGGGAATGTGAAATGATTTCTTGATTTAGCATAACTGCAGTATAGAAAACAGCCAAGATCCAGACAACCCACCCCTATCATTTGTCCACACGCGTAAGATTAGTGAGCCCACAGAGAATTCCTTTCTTCTCCTGGTCTCCTACCAAAAGTAGATATCATTCCATCTCCAATTTCTCCTTCCCAACAGCAGGACATACAGAGCGACAGGTGAGCAGCAATCATGATTCACTTAAACACTTCATTAGAAGTTAAGCCTCTTTCATTTCTTACGCCTAAAGCCTCATTCTCTTTAGCTGTGAAATAAGAAGTGCCTTTTAGGATGTTAGAGATCTAAATTACTGCCACACATTTAGAAGGTAGGAAAACTTTTTTTTTTTTAACATTAAGGCCAGTACTAATGGCTTAGTGAGCATGTTTCTGTTCTTTCTGTTTCTTTCTTACTCTTCTGAAGAGTATCATGGAGCCACTATATCTAAAAGCCTCATTTTTCATATTCAATAGTTAATCTAAATATTCCATTTACTGCAATCTGCACCTGGTATTTACTTCAGGTGGAAAAAACAACTGGGAGTTCCAGTAAGTGAAGGAGAACACAGATTTTGGCAGTGAGCCTTTTACTTTTTGATCAACCTTTGGTGCCACTGTTGCTTTTGTGGATCAGAGGATCTGAAGTCTAAGTTGAATCTTCAGGTTCAGTTTTTATCTTCAAGTTACAGGTTTAGATGCTGCAAACGTCTGAACGCCCGCAGTGTAGGAAATGGAATGGTATATAAGCACAATGACAGCCTTCTGTGTGAAACCATCCCTGTGGGGCTTTTAATCATACACATCTAGAACACAATTAAAAAGACACATTAGTGTCTAGAGTGAAATGGGCATATTCTTTGTTCTAATGCTTTGGGATTTTTTGTCCCTTCCACAGTAGAAACTATACTGTACTATCCAATGTACTATGCCACTCCAATAATCTGCTTGAGCAGCAAAGCTCCCCACCAGACACAATATACAACTACACATTAGCATCACAATTTGGCCATAGGCACAGAGGGGGAGTTTGAATTAAAAAAGACATTAATGACTTTTCAGACTATATTCTTGAGTGCTTATGCTCCCAGGTTATCAAGATGATACTTTCTTCTAGTCTGACTGGAAGTCATAAAATACGAACCACTTTTTAAATTTGATTTTTAAAGAGGAAAAAATGATAGTCAAGGTATTCAACAGTCACATAATATTTTAAAGTACGCAGCAGCCATTTATCTTTGTCAACAGTCTTGTCATCACAAAAAATAAAGTCAATGAAATGTCAAATAATGACTTTCCTCTTCATAGTATTGCCTAAAATAACATCCTTCTTTTTCCTATCTAAGCTTGGTAGTGGGCCATTCCTCTGTCAAAATCGGTGAGACTTGTGAGCATAACTCTCACACCAAGAAAAGAGTAGAGCAACGTCTACATCTTAAACAAGCAGGAAAGCTCTGCAAGCATTAAAAATTTAATTTTATATTCCAAACTCATTCAAATTAGAATTAGAATCCCATCATATCTAGGTAGCACTGTATATTCTAGTAACTAAAATATCTAATCAAATGTGCTACATTTTTTGTTAACTACTGATTTCTCTGCACTGTTCTACACTCATATCCAGAAATTTCAATAGATAATTTTATCCCAGTGCAGAAAGTAATCATTTCTGATTTTTAATTTTCCAGATTTGTTACTTTTCCTAACAAATAAAAAGGAGAATTTACAACAAATCTGTGCATTCAATGATCTAAATTCATGTACAGAGAAAGTCATATAAAAGATAAACATTTTTCCACAGTAAGCCACTGTAATAACACAAATGAGGATTTTTTCCTCAAAATAAGTGAAAGGAGTTTGTTTGAAATCCCAAGTTTAATATTGCTTTACTGTGTTCAAGACTAAAAAAGTAGACTATGAGATGATGCCAATCAAAATGCAAAAAGTACCACGTTTTTCTTGTAACAAAAAACTGAAGAAATAAAAATAGAATTGCTGCAGAAGTACTATACACTACAATTCAGATCCTAGAACATATTTTTGTTTTATCTAGAAACACTGAACACAGAACAAAAAAAATTACAACAATACATTTTCTAATGATCCTAACTTCAAGCTTTAGCTAATATTCAGTGGTAATACCTGTCAGTGTCTGTGGAAGGTTGCTGGATTTCAATCCTTGGACATGTTATTCTTCTACTAGCTACAGAAACTTTGCTGTTTAGTCACAGACACAAGATCCTCTGTTAGCATAACATAAATAAACATGTCTACAAACAACTGAGATTTCCAGAACCAAGCAAACTTAAATTTGAGTCACAAGTACTATGATGGAAAATGGAAAAATAGGAAATCACTGCCAAAGCATTGAGATTAATTGGTGACTGAACAGCCTCACCAAATCACTCATTCATACCTTTATAGGAACTTAATTTAAAATTGTATGCTATACTTATTAAAAGCAAGAAACGTCATGCTTTTAAATACCCTTGCAAAATAAAAGCAAGAATTAAATCAATGTATTTTTGCTGCAGTAGTATTTAACTATATTTTTATATAAATATGTATTTACATACACACAAATATGCACATACAAACACACACATCACACTGTGGTGTATACAGCAACTACAGGTATATCTACGTGACATCACAGGAATGACTACAGTGCAGCACACCGTTATCTGAACTATTTTTCTATTTGTTAATGCAGCTATGTAGAGAAGCAGAAAACTGCTGCAATCCCAGGCACACTGTGCTCTTCACTGCTATGTGCATACAGCTACAGCTACAGAAACAGCTGCTTACGTTTTGCTTAGGTATCTGTATTTGGCACTGCAGTCATTTAGTGATTCTATCACAGACATTTAATCATACTAACGCACAACAGCATAACACAAATACTCAAATGCTTAAAGAAAGCACATGGAGCTATATGTATATAGATTTACCCTTCATAATATGTTTCCTCATCAATAGATTTTTAAACAGACATTATTTTTCAAAATCAGAACCTTCCCGGTTGGTATTTCCTTACAGAGAGGTGGATAAAACAATGCAAGTGGTGTATATGCTGCCTTATGTCTTACTGATTTATTCAGTTCATTCTGTTAAATTTATCATATTAATATCTTTTCATATTTTTATATTAGGTCTGAATTATGCAATGTGTGGAGCAGTTATTTCAATACTGATTGAAAATTCAGAAAGATGTAAGTAGCTTTATAATACATTAAGTATTTGGTTTACATGATTGTTTCCAGCACTCAGAAAATACTTTTTATTCTATATTTCCAGGTGCCTTTTACAGTATTTTTAACAACAATTTCC